CTGTAATACTGATGCCGGTACTGTAATACGCAATTACAGTACCCGTAGGCGGTACACATACAAGTAGATATTTGCCAGTAACAGATATTATTAAAGCTTGTGCCGGTACTCAGGTAGTAAAGATACGAGCACGGCGGCACATAAAAGTACATGGACTGATGGACATACTACTTAGTACTTATTGATTAAGCGGGCAATAATGGTGTTAGTGGTTCAGCTGTCATTTTAAGTTGATTCTAGACTGCTATTAGATAATTTACAACCAGAAAAAAAGCTCAGAATGGCCAAAAACTGCAAGAGAGTAAATTTGATAATTATCAATTACAGTCTCAATTATAAAGTCTTTTTGCAGTAGCTGTCATAATCAACTTTTTAGTAACTGATTGTGATTGATCTGCAAATAAAAAAACAGTGATCGGAAACCCACGAGAAAATTTATCGGTTTCGCGAAAAGAATTCTTTGTTTCATGTTTAAGGTCATCGCTGCAGTCAACAAAATAAGCAAAGTTTTTTATAGACATCATTAACGACTTTTACTATTTTCAAAATAGTACAGTGCCTCCTCATTTGTTTAGCCAGTTCGGTTGTGGACTTGCATTCATTCAACTTATTATTGTAACAAATTACATTGTAATAACATTGTAGTGGTTGTGTACAGTATTCAATTGAGTACTCGTATCATTGTGCAGCATTGTGTACTTTTACAAAAAAAGTCAAGTAACTCTTTTGTAGTGCCATTAGCCAAATTATGGTGTGGACTGTAGTGACAAGGTTTTGTTGTGATTTACTTGTGAACTATAGTGGCAAGAGCGTTCGCCATTAAATTATTCTAAACCTAAGAACGCCTACGCTTTTGCAGATATTTAATTCCAACGGCAACGTTTCTTCTATGCCTGCTGCATCTCCGCAATAACACCAGGCAGCATCTGGAAAAGTTACACCCCGGCCCCCAGAAGGCTGGCAGTATTGCCGAAACGATCTCGGATATTTACGGTTCCTCTGTCCCTGGCAAAGACGCATATTATGCCGGCTTGGTTGATTGCGAAACTGTCGAAGAGTTTGACGAGCGGTTAAAAAAACTTGAAGCAGCATGGGAAAGCCGAGTACCTGGTTTTTACAAGTGGTTTAACACATACCAAAAATCGGACATCAGGGATCGTGTTACGCGTGCGGTGCGAAAGGCCGTCGGCATGGAAGACATTTTACCACAAAACAACCCTTCCGAAGCGTTGAACTCCATCAGAAAGCGAAGCTTCCCAGCGGGCGACAAAAAAATTGTGATTTTAAAGGATATCGTCTTAACCTTGCAGAAGCTGTATGAAGAGGAATTGAAAGATGTCGCAGAGCTGCTAATTGGCAGAGGAAATTTTGAGCCGCTAATGGGATCACCGCTGCCTGAACCAAACGCTAACATGCTGAACGACGAAGGAAAGCGGCACAGCGCATACAGGTTGTTGTTTGGCTATATTCCGGAAAATGACCCACTCCTGCATTTAATTTCCAAAGAGAAACCTGGACAGTTGGAATTCCCTATTACTTTTGCTGATTCCCTGCTATCTGCAAGTCTCCGTAGCGTCTGGAATTCGGCTGTAATTATGTTGCGAACGCAAACCATTGTCCGGGATGAAACGGAACCGGGAAGTACTGAAAATGTTAGCATCGTCATTCACGACAAAAAAAGCCGTTCAACCCAAGGTGTGTCCTGGAATGCAACGAGCAAAACTGCCAGTTGTGGGTGCAGCGAGTTCAAGCGGATTGAAATCTGCAGTCATGCCTTAGTGGCTTCGCACAGTGCCGGACAGTTAACTGTTCACTTGAACGAATTTAATAACCGCGAAATCGGCTTTCTAGCGGCTGTGCGTGCAACGGAGAAAAGAGGCGGATGCAAAGGTCCTACTGTTAAGCGCTGGGGTGATAAGAAAAGAACGGCTGGTGGCACATTTCGCGAAGGGAAAGATGAACGGAAAAAGATTCGAACAACTGGACCGGAAACCCACGAACCGTTGCTCGTGCCCTGCTCTCAGCCAGTGCCAACTTCATCGGTAAGACCATGTACTTACAGTACAGATACACACTTACGCAGCGTAAGTGCAAAAAATATTAAAAACTAGAATGTTGTATAATAATTGTATGCTAATAGTACGAGTACATTAATAAGGTAACGAGTACTTACATATAAAAAAAATAATTGTATGGTGCAAAATCCGGCATGGCAAGCACTTTTAACAATTTTAAAGTGAATTTCAAAAATTTTAAAATTTATTAAAACTTTTGGGAAAACGATATAGACGTGAACGTTCGACTTAGTGGCCGTGTGTCATTTGCAGGCAAGTTTCAAGAAGATCGGGTAATAACTAGACTTTGGTGCACAATAATGCATTTAAACTTTTCACCCATTTTAGTATTTGATATCTCGGCAACCGGATGTTGCGCGCGCAAACTGTTTCCAGAACAATGTATGCAAATCATTTAGCTTTAGAAAGACATAAAGTACTACAAAGTTATGTTTTAGTGTATGTATTTACAAAAGCGAAAGTTTTAGTGTATGTATTCCATTTTTGGATCTATGTACCGGGCCATTTTCTTTAAATGATAACCAGTAATCCACAGCTGTGACCACAAAGGTGGTCAAAATGAGAAAACCGATAATTTAATCACTACAAAATAGCTGCAAAATCGCAATTCAATAAAACAGATTAAACAATTAATTAAACAATTTAAACGAATACGACTAAATCAATATCCTGCACTAACTTTACTTTGTAAGAAACGTGCATCGCCAAGTAAGTACTTGCGGCATCGCACTTACCGGGACGCGGTCAGGCACTTCCCTTAGAAAACGGTTTTTTATTTAAGGACAGTATGGGTACTGGGAATATTTACAAAAGTATTTTCACAGGCAACTGCCCAGAAGGCGTGGCTTAAAACAAATATTTTTTTACATTGCCTAGTTAAGCTGTTTTGGGCGCGCATTTCAATTTTTGTAAATCTTTTCGCAGAAAGTTCGTGCAACAATGCAGCTGCAAGAAAAGAAGCTGGTGAAAGTGGCTCCATGGCTAGAAACATCGGGCCCTTTTCGAGTAGAGGCTTGTGAGCCAGATTATACGGATTCGAAGTGCTACGGGTGTGACAGGAAGCTATGTTCTCATGATGTACCCAAGTTGGTTCTAGTGCGCAATGAACCGCACTACATGAAGGGCATGACCGGGTCGGCGAGGACGGCCACACCAGTTCGTCCAACCACATACCATTTCAACCGAGCATGCGTCCGAAAGCGGCACGGGGATTTCGTGCTAAGCAATGTCTCCCGTTTCACCAACACAATTCTCGAAAATTGTGATTTGGACGAGGACGACCAAGAAGTCCTCCAGAAGTTAATCGAATCTTGCCGGAAATGAAGTAATCATTTCCATAAAGCCGTGAATGCTTATAAAATGTAAACGTATTAATGGTAATAGTTTGAAGTTATAACAAGCTTACAAATAATAATAATAACATAATAATAATAATAACATAGAGCCAAAGAAGTACTTATATCGGCTGCATTTGTAGGAACGATGTGATGGACCGCAACATAACAGTTTGTATTTCGCCCAGACTGAACATTCAGACAAATTTTCTTTAATAAATTCCTTCATTAAGGGCTAGCCCTGCATTCTATTACTAAATTAGGTAACACTTTTAACACTGAAATAATCAGCTGTCACCCATGAAAATTGCGTAAGGGAAAGTACCGGATTTGTTGACAAAGCACTGCATTTTTCAATAACGAACCAAATGATTTTCTTTCGTTGTTTATGAATTTTGTCAAAAAATTTGTTGACGTTCAGTCTGGGTTTGTGGTATCCTGCTCCTGCATTTACGTCTCCTCACATCTTGGGATGGATATTTGTTGATGACGCGGCTTATGAGACATCGATGTACCAACTAAACGTCTGGGTCTTTTGCTTATTCAATATATATTTCCACCAATACTTTTTGTTTTATGTTTTGCAACGGTTTTGGTTGTTTGATTTGCTCATGATATGATTTTTGAACTGCCCATACAAATATTTTTGTGTTAAGCAACGACAGCAGGTTATATTCCGTGCAAATGTTTTCCATAATTAATTACCTTGCAGCATATTAACCCGATACTACGGCACCTTTAGTTTATGCGGATATGATTGTCATAATTTTCAAATAAAAACGATTTTATACGTGAAATACTTACGAACTGAAAAGTAGTGTCACCGGAGCGCAATTAAGTACATAATTTCGACTACTGTACCTGATAGTTTATGAACTACCGCCTGGGTTACAAATGAATTTAGAATTCGCCACTTTACAAAATACTACGCATTTCCATTCCGCAGGAACATTGTTCCGTTCCGCTTGAAACATAATATTCCGTTCCGACTGAAATTATTATTCCGTTCCGTATTCCGAAAATTTTATTCCGCATATTAGTATTCCGTTCCGAGAATGCATTCCGTATTCCGTATTCCATTCCGACCAAAGGTGTAGGCCGTGCGCCGGCCACTACTGTACAGAGTCGGTACTTGCGGTCTTTGCCCATAATGAGCCCTTTGGCCTTTGGTACACAGTCTTGCGCTGAAATTTTGTGGAATCGCATTTCACCGATAACTTCCCAACCGGATGTTGCGCCCACACACAGTTTTCACACCGACGTATACACCGGCCATTCGGCAACGGAATGCAATAAAACGACACAGAAATACTCTAGTGTTTGGGAGTGCGCACCAGTAAAAATGTGTGTTTTTCAGTTTTTGTACCCGAATTTCGCACAACATACCGGGTCACACCTTTAAATCCATCTTGTCGGCGCCTGTAGTCGCTGTACCGGATGTACTGGCTTAAGCTTTCACTGAACTGACGCAATCTGGGGCTGGCCCATGTGCAACAAATACAGATCATAGTTATAAGATTCAACAGCTAAGTAAACATGTGGCAGTCACTGACAATTAATTTTCTAGATTTTTTTAAATCACCGTGTACAGATACTGAGGCGGAAAACAGTTTCGGTAGGAACTGGATGATGGGCCAGCGGCCGAATAATTCATTTAAAACAAGAAGCCACCGGAATGTATCGCACAAACCGTTTAGAATCAAATTCAGCGGAAAAATCCGTGACTATTTCAGAGTGCAGAAAATAAGCTCTAACAAAATTCCTTGCTGATTTCGTGGTAGACAAATGCAACCTCAACGAAACTGCCGGACCGTTCCACGGTAAAAATCAACCGTCAGAGATACAGCTGTAAATGAAAGAAAGCTCATCTGCACGTGCACGCAGACAGTCGCAGTCGCCTAAGCGCCGGCTTAATTTGCGGTTAAATGACGTGCAGATAGGCTTCCTGCATAATCCACTCATCCAGCCGGCCGTTGATGCGGAACCAGCACTCGTACAGACCGGCGTCCTTATACGTGACACTGTTAAACTTCATGGTGGCGTTGCAGTGACCCTCGTCATCCCGGCCGAACTCAAAGCGCCCTCCAAAGCCCCACCACGGCCCGGCCTTATCGGCCACCTCCGGGATGGAGCGGGCTATCAGCAGATAACTCCCCGTGCGCCACAGGAAGCGGGTTTTCAGGAATCCGGGGAGCAGATGGAACCGGACGGGGCAGACCATCTCCGCGGGGTCACCGTAGCGGACGGTGATGTTCTGCATGGGCCGGTGGAAGACCTCGTGGCGGGCGAGGGTGACGGTGACCCAGTAGCGCTGCGTCACGACCAGCTGCGTCCCGTCGGAGTGCAGGCACTCGTACAGACCGGTGTTGGAGTAGGAGAAGTGCGGCAGTAGGATGGAAAAGGCTCCGGTGGCCACATCAAGCATTTTGCCCCGCGTAGCAAATCGCAACGAAGCTGAATCCTTCGTGCAGTTGCAGCAATAATTCGGTTCATTGAACGTATCGAATACGGCCGTGGTAGTGGCGCCCAGGGACACAAGCTGTCCGTTGTAGGTGTACGCCGGCGGAATCGCGGTGTGGGAAACCTGTTAGTACGACCGACACCATTGATACAAGGATAACGATTTTCTAGTCGGCAACAGCACGATATTCTCAAGATCACCGACCAGACGTTGCAGTCCCGTTACCCGGGTTGGCTGCTCTTGATGTAATAATAATAATAATAATAATAATTGCCCCTTGAAGCGTCGCCTACACGTAACACACCGGTGTCTCGCTGGCCGCGCGGCTGTTGTTGCAGGGAACGACCAGAGTGTCGCCTTCCGGCGCCCGGATGAGCTCCGTGTTGGGCGGCCATTCCGCGATGGGGAAGCTGCGCGAACTCGGGCCGCGACCGTAACCCTGGAGCTGCATGACGCCGCTGCCGTTGTGCGCTTTGGCTGCATTCAGTATCTCGTTGACTGCCAAAGAGAAGTATACTAAAATAGTGAAATGGAATAAAAAGTAAAGCTGTTGCGTTGCTTAGGGATTAAGCGGCGCAACTGCTAGCTGCTTAATCCTTAAGCCACATGCATACACAGGCAGCAACGAGATTTTGTACGACCGCGTCGGCATTTAAGTTGGTTTAAGATACCCAAATATGTACGGGTAAAATGGTATCGTTTTGGGTGAAAACTAATAGTATTTCTGAAAGACACTTGGGGAACTAGATGGCCGACCAAAGAGAAGGACTCAGAGTTCTGCTCAGAAATTAGTGTTTTCAAACTTGTGACTGAATGAATAAGGTCACTTCTGGTGTGAGTAAGCGTGCTAGAAGACGACGAAAAAATTTTAGGAGACGGCGATGCGCCCCGAATTTTTGGACGCCAACAATTTGGCTGTGAGCCCGCAATATGATTTTCCTTTCTTGATAATGCAAGCTGCACACATCAAATTATTGATACACGAATAAGTGCAAAGTGGCAGAAATTAGGCAGCTTCCAACCTTGTCCACAAATTTCTTAGTGCCACCGCTCCACGGTCCGTGAATCTCGAACGCCGCCGCAACGAAATCGTAACGTGGCATCAGCCAGCTGTGCTTCGATAACTTTCCCCTTTCAGCTAACTCCGCAGCGGCTCCAGCGTTCACGGAGGTGCGATCAATGTAAGAGGCTGCGAGTGTGTCAACGCAGGTAACATCTACAGCCAGTGGTTTACCTCGTGCCCAAGGTCAAGAGTGATGACGTCCGGCCTTTTGTTATCTTTAACCGACAGGCCCTTGGGCTCCATTCTGGCTGGAAAGCCCGCTGTCTTAAGGCCCCGGGCGATCTCACCGCTAATACCGTCGTGCCTTGGCAGTCTTCCTGCTGAGCGCTTGCAGCGAAGTCCATGCCGGCCCAACTCATCGACTTGCATGCCGCACACACATGCGTGAGGAGTTACTATAGGCGCTCCTAACCGTAAAGCGACACTTATTCTGAAAGCCGTGTCATCCAGTAGGTTTCCGAGACAGGCAGCGGGAAGTGCGTGAATCCAAACACCGGATTCAGGTACCGATACAGCTTTGAGATGGGCGATCTGGTCCTGTGATCCACGCATTTTGGTTAATTCGGAGTAGGCAGCGAGTGTTGCGGGCGTATCCCATGCTTTCTGCACGTGACGAAGGCTTTCTGCCGGAAGTTCATCCGTCCCTGTTTGCAGTTTCCAGGCGTAAATAGCGCAAGTCACATCCGTAGCCGCTAGCACTGGGCACAGTTTCGAGATCAGTGGGCGCAACGAAGAAGCCGAAGCCAAGTAGGCTGAGGAAGCTAGCTCTTCGGAACGTCTGATACCCAAACCACCTAGGCGCACGGGTAGGGATGCTTGAAGCCACGTCGAATAATCCATCTGTACATTGGTGATGCGTTCCAGTGCGTCGCGGAACAGCTGGTCCAACCTGTACAGCTCTTCTGGGAACATCCATGCAAGTGAGGTGCGCAGAATATGCACGACTTTTGGCACGCCCAAACAGTTCTTGAGCAGGAATAACGCCTGATGATTGGGTATGAGTAGTAGTCGTGTGCACATAACCTCCAGTTCCTCAATCTTTTTCCCTATCATTGGCACAACTGCTGATGGCAACAGCGGGGATCCCAGTAGGTTAAGCTGGTCTGGAGAAACAACTGTCAGGGAAGGGAAAACGGTAAGAAAAAGTTGAGCAGCCGCCGTTCTTTTGGCTTCCGTTCCACCACAGAGAAACAATTCGCACTTAGAAATGTTGACTGTGAGACCAATCTTTTGCGCTTCCAAAATTAGCAGCTGGAAATTACGGAGGACACTAGACACGTCGCCTCCCAAAGTCCCATCGTCCATATACCAAGCGTTCAACATGGTATCAAGCATTTTTACGATGAGTTGGAGCACCAGGCAGAACAGTACTGGTGCGAGAGGATCTCCCTGCTGCACCCCCGACTGGGACAAAATCCGTGTTTCCCCGAGTATGAGCCAGGAATGAGTAGCGTAGCACATTCGAATGAAAGGATAGTAGTCAGGGAAGAATTCAGCTACAATCTTCAGCAAGTGTTCTCTCGAAACGCAGTTAAAAGCGTTAGTAAAGTCGATTTTTAAGAGCGCTTTTACGTCATTGCTGTAGCACAGGAGAAAATCTCTGGCGGCGTGTATAATTCCCTCGGCGCCTTTTTTGACGCCCGCGCCTAGCTGATGTGGTTCAAGATGCTGCGCTGCGATCGGCCGCATACGGAACTCTACGGCTTTGGCGGCGATGCGACGGTATGTGTTACCAACGGCTATTGGACGCAATCCGCCATCTTTCTTCCGTAAGGCGATCAGCCGGGCTCCGCATAACATGGGGACAATATCCTGCGGAATGTTACCCGACAACATCAGGTTCAAGACGTCGGTGAGGGCCTCGCAGAGCTCTGACGCAGTGTCATCCATTCTGCTACCGATCATGTCCAGCAGATGTTGAGGGCGAAGAAAATCTAGGCCTCCGGCGCTTCCTCTCGGCATCGCTTCTAGGACGGCGGCTACTTCCGAAGGCGTCAGTGGGGTGCATGTGGCTGCCAGGGGTTCAGAGGGGAGTTCTGGAATTCGGGCTGTGGGGTGCTTCTGTCTCATGGATTCGATAACATCCGGAGTGATGGTAGCTACCGTGTCCGATGACAGGAGGGTACGCACTGCGCCACTAATATTGAAATCGTCGATTTGGACGCCAACGCGCCGGGAAATGTCGTCGTCCGTAGTGGCCTGCCTAGGCTTACGAGAAACAGAAGGTTCCACAACGCACAGGTCGCCGTTCTCGAACTGTGCTATCCGGTTCCGTATGTGTGTCGTCAATGATAATTTACGGGCCTTTCTGCTGTCGCCTGGGAGTGACAAGATGGCGGACGGGGCTGAAAGCAGCTTTAACCAGGAGGTGGCGTCGTTATCTCTCACTACGCTCCGCAACAGCTTAGTCAGCAATATAGCGACGGACGACCGGGCTGCCTTTGGGATACGGCGGATGATCCTGCAATTGGCACGAATAAACTGCGGCAGCGGCTGCGTACTGTTGGGCGTCGTATGGTTTTCTCTTTGGTCTTGGTCTGGTGGGTCCCCTGTGGGAATCCTGCCATATCCCTCTGCTTGACGCTGTATACATTTTGCGCTGCCAGGGTGCCTCCCGGGTACTTTACAAGAGAACTGGCAATCGGGGCACGTCCAGGTCATTTGAAATCTGCTTAAGAGAGATCGGCGGCAGAAGGGAAAAATCGCAGGGAAGAATAAGGGTACTTACAAAGTGGGAAACTGTGGGGACCCGATAACTGCGGGACAAGCTGCCACGACAGCCTCCGAAGAAAAATCTTCAGACAGAAAGGCCGGACGTCATCACTCTTGTACCTTGGGCACGAGGTAAACCACTGGCTGTAGATGTTACCTGCGTTGACACACTCGCAGCCTCTTACATTGATCGCACCTCCGTGAACGCTGGAGCCGCTGCGGAGTTAGCTGAAAGGGGAAAGTTATCGAAGCACAGCTGGCTGATGCCACGTTACGATTTCGTTGCGGCGGCGTTCGAGATTCACGGACCGTGGAGCGGTGGCACTAAGAAATTTGTGGACAAGGTTGGAAGCTGCCTAATTTCTGCCACTGGCCAAAAACGCGCCAAAGAGTTTTTTCGGCAGCGCTTGTCTATACAGATACAGCGTGGGAATGCGATATGCGTAATGGGCACGATTCCTGAGCAAGACAGTATAGAGGAATTTTTCTTGTTGTGATTGGGGTGTATCTGTTGCGGATGATTGTTTCATTGTGTTTTTTATTGTTTGTTTTTTGTCTATTTACTATTTGTTTGCATCATAGAAACACGTTTCTCCATAAGTGCAAAGGGCATTTCGAAAGTGAATTTCACTATTTTGTATCTCCCGGCATTAACGCATTCAGCTAAACATCACGCGTATCGTTACAAAGGTCCGTAGTATTACAAAGAATACCAACGAAGAATTTTCACGTGCTTTTCCCCGCGCCAGAACTACGCTGATTTACGTCGTTCAACGCTGATCCCTGTTTTTTGAGTCGCACAGGAAAGACCTCCCGGGAGAAAGGCCACAACTACCATCGCCACAGCAGCAGGAGCAGCCACGAGAAACCAGCCACCCATCATCGACGATTTAACGGGAATAAAATGATCAGACAGAAAAAAACACAACGCGGATGAGTAATAGTACGGAACCAACGATTATCGAACCGTTTGCTGCGCCCAAAACAAAATTCAGATCCGACACGGCGAATGTGTTGACGCTTAACTATAAAGTTCAGTAAACAATTAAACATCAGAATTAATATCCCGCAGGAATCAAGATTACCTGTTCAGCTCCCTGGGACGGGAAACTTAGAACAGCTGATGGCAAAATCTGTATAATAATTTGTTTGCATCATTGCATGTATGGCACTGGCAGTGCGAGACTGCGAATTGTCTTTTACTTGCGGTCTGTGACGCAATTTAACCACCCATTATGGCAGCGTGTATGGTGGTCTTCTGCACGCGTTTCGGCAACCGATCGGTATAGCTATAGCGGGCATTGACGTAAGGCATTAAGGCAAGTGGCCCGGTAGATAGTACCAAATTCGTGTACATGCACGAATTCTTTCATTTTCGCGCACTCCCAATCCCTTTTTTCTCTTGTTTTAAAACATTCCGTAGCCAAATGATTTGTTTACGTCAGCGTGAAATCCGTTTTCGCGCGCAACATCCGGTTGCGAAGTTGTAAGGGTCACAAAATTCTAAAAAATTTAAATGCATTCAGTGTACCAAAAGTCTCATTATGGACCGATCTCCTCACATTTTGCACGTAAATGCACATACCATGAAGAACGTTTTTACACCGATCCAGTCTTCCATGACTTTTTTCGAATTTTAAAATGAATTTCATTTTAAATTTGAATAACATGCTAGAACAGTGAATCGGTGTAAAAACGTTCTTCGTGGGTATGTGCATTTACGTGCAGAATTTGAAGGAGATCGGTCCATAATGAGACTTTTGGTACACTGGAATGCATTTAAACGTTTTGGAATTTTCTAACAACCATAACTCCCGAACCGGATGCTGCGCGCACAAACGGTATTCACCCTTAAGGCATTAACATTAACGTAACGTAAACTTAAGGGATTAACGTAAACATAAAAATTAATTCAATCTTCGCAGCATAAGCTCGCTGCTCAGTTGTATGTATCTGTACTTATGGTCAAAATACATGAGATCGATTGTACGCACTGTCTTTAAAACGTAAAAGTCAATAAATCCTCATGATACAGGAATTAGAACCTGTTAGTATACAAAGTAAATTGTGTCGACAAAAAATTAATCTTCTACCACTGCTTGTGCCACATTTCCTCAAAAAGTGAAGTTCAAGTCATATTACTGTTACACTGTATCTGTATATAAGATCAAAGGTGACCGTTCGCTAACTTAGGTCATTTTACAGTCAAATAGTTTGTTTTGTCGGGAACGAGAAAAATTGAACAGTGCAGCAGTCAAGCTGAGCAGTAATTCGTAACCGAAAGGTTCCGAAAAGTTACACACATGCAGCCTATATAACAGCGAATTTGAAAAATGTTGCGCACATCGCCCGGAGTCCAGTCAGCTGTACAACAGCCGACTGGCATTCTTATCCGCATTTTCGGATCGACCGACATCCGGCCATTGTTAACGGCTAAAGGTCACTCTCCGATGTACAACGCATCGTTACCCTTTCCTCACCGTCTCCATTCAGTTAATTGTACTTTTTTCGAAAGTGAACACACTTGGCTGAATAACCCTCTGTACTTATAACAAACATGCAGTCCGCCGATTGCCGATTGGGCCAACTATAAGCCAGAGCAATAAGCAGTCAAACTATTAACGGGCCATCGCTAATGAGGTGTCATTTCGGCTTCCTTTGTGGCATTTCAGTAGAACCGCGCGCTCGCCTTTTCCATACGCGTCCCAGGGAAAACTGGTATCCTCGGTTAGATTTGGAAATGTATACGGTGATCAGCTGCAGTTTTCACGCCCATGCACAGAGAATGCGTAACGGTTACTGTGGGATACAGTAGTAACTTTAATACGTACTAGTACGTGCAGAAGCGCCGAATCCCGGCGTTACTTTCGCAACTGGCCCGCCCCATCGGTCGCCGGCAAGACGGACGCAGAGCGGTGCGGGAAACGGGTTCAGCGCGCAATCCCGACGCGGCGCACGGGATGCATATCGATTGTTTATACTTTATCCCATCTTCCCGATCAGCAGATGCTGCACACGGCACCACACTGTTCAGACATTCTTGTGGATTCATTCTACCTGTCTAAACCCGGCCAGAATTCATAAGTCTCTAAATTCAGATTAATACTTAATCTTACAGTTGCAGGTACTTTTGACGCTCTTGCGTAGTTCACAAGTTTCTTCTTTTTTTTCTGGCAGTGGTGTACCGGTACGTTAGGATTTGAAGACTGTACACGAAATCTCACTTTCATCATAAAACAGTGTGTTTGACTTCTGCTTTCAGTGATGGCCACGCCTTCCAGCATGGATGGAGAAAGTGATGGCACTGGACTTGGAGAAGGTTGGTTCACTTGGTTGGAGGGTTGGAAAGCCTGGGAGGTCAACGTCGCTGTTACGCTAGTTTCTGGAGCCATCATGTTACTGCTCTGTAAGTGATAAAAACAACTAAAGGCGTCGGAAGACTGAGAAACTGTTTCCCCAACCCGTCGTCGACATCGGCTGGGCTAATGCTGCTGATTGTATTGGTGCAGGTCATGTTGTCGGCAGTTGGAGGCTGGTCAACCCTTACCGCAAGGACCCGCAGAAAGAGGCCGATCAGCAGCAGAAACTGATATGGACCGAGGTGGTCTTGATCGCGGTGACCCTGGTGGTGGCCCGTGCTTTCTACGACCACGGCCGTGGTCAGTTCCTAAAATGGTCTCCTTAGGTCCTTCCTTCAGCCAGTGCAGTCCGCGCATCTATGACAAGCATAGAACATTGCAAAATAATCTAGTGCCTGCGGAGTACATTAATCACATGATACACCTGGGCTTAGTACGTCCGTATCAGATTAAGAACGTCGGTCTCTGTATGATGAATGAGTTGCCGAATGAAATACGCAGCGCATCTTGCTGCATCGAAATCTTGCTGAATGTTCCTGATTAAGGGAAGTGGGCCGGTACATGGTACCAAATTCGTGTACATCCACTATTCTCCTAATTAGCGGATTTCCAATATTCAAGTGTATATGGCGTATATGGTGTATATGGTGTATTGGTTGTAAAATAAGTATTTTCAAAAAAGACTGCCATAGACCAGATCTGCGCTTCTGTAGTCTTTTCTTTCTGTTTCTTGTCAACACGCTCAACAACTAATATTTAACTTATAATTATATTTAACCTTGATTTAAAATATAATAATTACTAGTACCGCTGCGCATGGGCCGTTCTGCGTCATTTCCGGTGGCACTGCAGAATGCACATGTCCCGCCCTCCTCGATAGCCACACCCCCTCCGCTGTCTGCCGCCATCGTCCTGTCGTCCAATCACAGAGCACCAGCGGCCAGCTTTCGCCCAGTCGATATACAGTACTAATCGTATATAGTCACTTCTTCTCTGCCGTCGGTTAGACGCAGTTAAGGACACTTGCTACATTCCTTCGAGGGACTCTTATGCGTGCATGTGGTCCGTGGATTATTCAAACTGTTAAGGAAAAATTGTTAAGAGCACTGCAATTTTAACAACTTCTCTTCAACTAATGAGAACTACTTGAGTAGTGTTCGCAATCTTGTTGTTCCCGATCGGATGGTGAGTGTAAATTGTGTAATTAACAAGTAACGCCTAAAGGAGTTTTTGTGCACTGATCCACGTTGTCCAATTTATTGAGATTTGGTTTTTCTTGTGTTTCTTAGGTTTTCTTGTGTTCTTCTCTTATATTTTTTAGATTTGTGGGCAATTCATATTGGCCGTTGTACTGAGCAAGTTATTAATTGAATAATCATTAGAATTACCTGTGAGCAGTCTCACAAATCGCTGCACTGCTAAGCTGTAGCACTGCCTGTACGAAGTACTTATTTAGGACTCCGCTTTGTCTAGCCTTTATCTTGACATCTCTATAAGGTTGGCCTCTCCTCACTCTTGACTCTGGAACATGCTTTTAAGAGTCAGCTACCTCCATCCGGTTATTCCATCCTTCGGTTGGACCAACCAGCCTGCACCGGAAATGCTGTGGATTGTTCAGCCGCACTGTCAACGCCTGATCGTCGGTGGACGGGAAATGGCATTTTTACTCCATCTATGATCAGGCTATGGCATGTGCGCAATGCGCGGAACACTTTTCCCTACGATGTGCTCGGGATCCGGCGGATGTGCTGACGACCAACCCGGCGCGATTCCCCTTCACCTTCAGGATCGCCAACCGGAGCTTCTTCAGCGAGGGTAGGTTGTAGCAGATGAACCGGTGCTGCTTAACCGGAAGTTTGTAACAATGCCGTTACAATTTTCAGTTCGTCTTTGCTCAGTTATTTCGGTATCCGGCTTGTCACATGAGCAGTGAATGACATAACACAACATCGCCGCACCTGTCTTCCTGTACATTTGTCCATTAATGTTGTGTAGGATTGATTGCACTGGCTGAATTTGCTGAATTTCCCGAAGAATGACTTTGGAAGTGAACATAATTCTCCATACAGAATACAGGAATTATACGAGCACATAAAATTATTAACCAACGCAAAATAGCACAACTACATACAACGAAGACAACTTCAAAGTTACGTTTAAGCGCTACGCGTTACAACGCAGGAAGTCGTCGGATGGACGCGCAGTTTTAAATGGCGGAAACTGAATATACACATAGTAAACCAGAAAACTGAGTTGATCAACTCTCTGTTAATGGGTGCATGAGGTAAGGAATCCAAATGTAACATGTCTTCGCTCGGTGAAATGCTTTCTGAGCGGACACAAGAAAAGCGGTCCACTCAGTTCTTGCAGCAGAGAATTAGGATTGCTTTAATGCGAGGCAATGCTGCATGTGAACAGGAAACGTTCTGTATTGGTAAGTGGTTGGACGAAGTGTATTACGTACTGAAGTGGTTTTATTTCTTAACTTATCTGTACTAATTACTAACTGTGCAAACATGTAATGAACTAATTTTAACTAGAATCATCCACGCCTAATTGGCACACCAAAGCTTTGCAAGCAGAAAAAAATTATATATGTAAACATGTCATTAAGATGAAATTAATGTCTCATTTTGCAGTTGTTGTGCTGTGTTGTCCATGGCAGAGAATGCAGAATGTACTATGCTCTTAGATTTGATGTCTTCCAGGCGGGTATCCGCTATCAGCGGTGAGAAAATTTGCAGTTTTTTCTCTTAGTCATAGCAGCAAAATGAGTAACAGATATGTGCGCAACAGTCGTGCCACAGAACAAGCGGGCTGCTGATATTTGACAGTTGCTACTTGTATTAACAATATTCGCAGTACGTACAGAATTACAGTAGTCAGCCAAGCCGGGTACAATATACACCCTTTATACACACTTTATTGGACAGATGATACTTAATGGCACATTAAGGGAAGAAGATTCTAGACACGAAAACTATACAAGAAAATTTCATTCGATTTATCTATCCAGCCCTTCGATCCTGCCCCACACCAACGCGCTACCCCGATGAATATCTATCGACAAACGCGGTGGTAAAAGTTTATGCGAGCCTGCTTCGCCGGTTGTCTGCTCAACTCCGTTAAACAACAGTAATACGCACACTACAGAAGCAACACGTGTGACGTGACAGAATTGCCGTATAGCTTAAACGGGCATACACAGGCACAAAAAGCCACAGATCAACATGATCGGTAGAAGTATCAACGGTTGTGATTAAAAGACGTGCAGGTAGGCGTTCTTCCACGTGACCATGTCAATCTTCATCGTGGAACTGCAGCGACCCGCGTCATCGATGCCGAACTCAAACCACCCATAGAATCCCCACCACGAGCGGGCCGCGACCGCCGGGATGGATTCGGCTATCAGCAAGCAGCCTCCACTGCGCCACAGGAAGCGGTTGACCAGTCGTCCGGGGAGGAAGTACACTTTCGCGCACTCCCAAACACATTTTTGTTTCGGTTTATGACATTCTGTACTCTGTAGCCACTGGCGTCAAAACCGTTTGTGCGCGCAACATCCGGTTCGGGAGTTATGGCTGTTAGAAAATTCTAAAAAGTTTAAATGCGTTCAGATGTACCAAAAGTCTCATTATGGACCGATCTCCCTCAAAGTTTGCACGTAAATGCACATGGCCACGAAGACCGTTTTTACACCAATCCAGCCTTCAACAATTTTTTCGATTTCTAAAATGAATTTTACAATTTTGAAATTTATTTTAAAATTTGAAAAACATGCTAGAACATTAATTGGATCGGTGTAAAAACGGTTTTCTTGGTTCTGTGCATTTACGTGCAAAATTTGAGGGAGAGCGGTCCATAATGAGACTTTTGGTACACCTGAATGCATTTAAACTTTTTGGAATTTTCTAACAGCCATAACTCCCGAACCGGATGCTGCGCGCACAAACGGTTTTCACACCAGTGTACACACATCTTCTGGTACAGAATGCCATAAACCGAAACAAAAATGTGACTGGGAGTGCGCCAAAGTGTAAATTTTCGTGCATGTACACGAAGTTGGCACCATGTACCGGCCCACGTCCCCACCTTATCGTATACGTATAGCCGAAATCAGACGAAAAACGGCAATATTACAGTCGTAATGTCGCATACACGAGTACCCTTAGCGTGATGTTGTTGGTGATGTGGTAGGGGAATGGGATGACCAAGGTGCCGCCCTCGGGCGCTCGCACAACCTCCGTGCCTGGCGGCCATTCCGCGATCGGGTATCCCGCCGACGTTGGGCCGCTTCCGTGCCCCTGCAGATGCATCCTCCCGCTGCCGTTACGGGCTTTGGCGGCGTCCAACATCCGCATGACTACGCCGAAAAACAACTAGATTAAATGGAAAAGAAAATGAGCGCAGCAGATGGAGCGACTGGTTTTGCAAATTAATAGCCGGAAAGCTAAAAGCATGCAGCTTTTTAGCCAAATGCAGCAGGTTTAAAAATTCGGAAAAAATGTCGATGTGAACAGCAAGGCAATTTTGATTCGATTTTGTAACATTTTTCACATAAGATTCTCTAAGGAAAAAAAATTACAAATCGGGGACGCCCACCGATCAGATTTTGATCATCAGCATCTACAGGAGAGAATAGTTTTCTCTACAAAACTGTAATATCTTCTTAAGGTCAACTAAAACATCAGGGAAACGCGGTACTTTTATTTCTCCGTCGTCCTTTACAATAAGTCTCTGGTAGGCGCTGAAAGACTACAAATTAATTTTGACCTACCAAAACTGCGCTGACTTACGTCGGTCGACGGTGATCCCTGATGGTTGAGGCGCGCACGCCAGTCCTCCCGGGAGAAAGGCCAAAAGCACCACCGCCACGGTAAAATATCCCATTACCGACGACGACGATGTAACAGCGATAAACTGGACCGGACCCTTCGTACTGCGAACCGGCCGCCCCATCGTAGAAACGGGTATGATTACTGTTAGACATTTCCCAACATACGATTATTCTTAGCACGTTGCATCATCTTGCAGGCTTGGTATGTAACGCTGCTAGCTACTTTATGTTCTGACGTTAGACGTTAGTCATATTGATGTTCTAATATTATCTGCAAGCTGGCTGCATCTGTGAATAGAAATCAGTACTTCTCGACTCATTAACCTTCAAATCTCCACAAAGATGCAGCAACACTTAGAGCAAAGGAAACAACTTTCGAAACAGCTAGCCGAATAAAGCAAACGCAAATTCCGGCTGTGTTTTTTTCTACGCCAGCCAATCATCAGAGAAATCTATCTTGGGAACGCAGTCTAGATCTAATCGCCGTGCAGGGAACGGCACCGCTGCCAGCTGATCTAGATCAGCTTCATATTATTGCACAACCTAAGAGTATAAAGCATCAAAATCATTCTGAATACACGGTTCACAGAACTGGTAGCAGGAATTCTGTAATGAATACTAACAGCCTGGTTAAATAATTCAAACAGAATCGTGTACAGGGTAGTCTAGCGTAGCGAAAGTCTAGGGTAGCGCTTTTTCAGACCGATTGGTCCATTCACTGTAACCATTCCCTAGCACAGCTCATAGGGATCCGGGTGGTCGTCAGAAACCGATTTGCATATTTGTAGCTGCTGTGATAACACGGAATGGTCTGTACGTTAGCCACACGTACGTCGATTATGATGCTCAAAGGTCACAGTCGGTTTTCCGCTCAAGACTGCGAAGACTTGCTACGATAACTGCACATGTAAATTTATCCATCAACACCGTCGTCGACTCAGTTGTGGTTTGTGAATATTATTTTTAGCGCAGTGGACATGTCGATACTAGTATTTGTTGTAATGGTATACTGTAGGTCAGTTGCATTTGGGTACGTAACTGTCTGTTTGGGTCCATACTTTAGTTGTAATTCGGAATGCAATAGAAATCTTACCACAATCGTAGAAAAAGTATGCACGACAGTCGGCTTTGTTGTAGCATTTTTTGTTGTAATTCTCGAAAGTATGGACGCGACAGTTGCAGGAAAAATGTTGTATTTCGGAAAATTTGTTGTAGATTGATGTTGTAGGAGGGAGGGGCTTTTCTTCCTTCCTACAACAATCGGAGCAAACTAGCCAATGGGCAGTTTTGCCAGAATCACCATAATATGTGCAGCTCTGTTACATGCAAATGAGGCAATTAATAATACTCGTTTAGTTAATGCTGATGTTATTTTTAATTCAACCTTGTACAAGCAAATGCCATTTACAATTAAATCCCAAATACCAAATAGCTAGAACAAATAAAACAGCTCTTCTAGCTCTTTTGAGCAACCAACAGTTACTGATTACTTGATACAATGCTGATTACTTGATATCATTGTGATGTAATCCCTTAACTGGTGATAACAAACCTGAAACCGCACTGAACTATCAAACTACAAAGTCAGTAGAATTGATTTAGCTCCATTTATGTTATGATACTGTAGTTTTTTTTGTAGATACTTCAGTATATGTATATAGCATGCGACCATGATTGATTTACTGATTTGTAAACTATGTATTCGTATGATGAAACAAAATAAAATCCTGTTGCTTCCGCCTAATAATAATAACAAGAATAAGCGGGCTATATCCGCCAATCTCGTCTCTGCTGGGCTGGCTCAAATTTAGTTGTGGTCAAAGTATGGCCGGGAAGTGTTGCAGTTTGCAAAAATTTTACAACATTACTACAACGACCTGGAAACTACGACTACGATTGTTGAAATCGTAGTTCCCATTTTATGACTACGATTTGTTGTACAACTTTTTCTTACAACTGAAGTGTTGACCTAGCATGAGGCGCGTCGGGTAACGAAGAAACGCGTAAAAACCTATCCATGACTCAGCGAAAGAATTATCGTCCAGTCGTCAGGCGGGTCGGCTTCCGTGCCAAGAAAGAAATAGGATTGCATACCAGTGTTTGATTTGTACTGCTTCATCCTTCTGGTCCTGCTTCATTGTTACAAACCGGACCTTTTCCAATTTCCATGAAAACGTTAAACGCGCATTAGCATACGGATCGTTTTTACACCGAACCAGCTTTCCACCATTTTTTTTCAGATTTTGAATTACTTTTTAAAAAATTTTGAAATTTATTTCAAAAGTTTAAAAAAAATGTCGGATGGCATGCAGGCAGAATGATAAACGTATTATGCATAACTGATAAACGTATTGCATAACTGCAACCACCTTTCTGCCGGGACAGTGACGGCATGCACTGCCTGTCACAATGAGCATGAATACACTCAATGGTTCGGTGTCATTGTTAGATCAATCGACAGATTCGACACCGACGGGTTGGCTCGGCAGATTGGTGGATGAGTCGTCCACCATTCTACCTGACTTCGGCAGAAAGCGGTAGCTCATCCGCCAATCTGCCGAAGGTCGGCAGACTGGTGGATGCGATTGCATTACTGTAAACATGCGCCATCCACCCGTCCACCTTTCTGCCGGCTATATGCGGTAACCGACGGACGGATACCACCAGGTACATGGGGTGTGAGTAAATACGGCTACGGGGCAGCTGTGCATCCGGTTACAAATACCACCGTCCATATGTGCATTTGGTGCCGGTTGCCGACGCACGGACAACACAAGTTATATGTAAATATAGGCAACGTGAGTATAAACGCCCACTGCACCCCTATTCGCTTTCATATGCGGTCACCGACGGACGGATACCACCAGTTACATGGGGCGGGAGTACATACGGCCGCTGCGCATGTGTGCATTTAAAAGAAAAGGCAACTGCGCACGTGTGCATCGAGTGGTGGTGACCGACGGACCGACACCACATTTTCCATAATCACTGAGCACAGGAAGATCTGCGCTACGCTTCGGCCGATAATTCATAAAGGTCACCAAAATGTGTCATACTGTATATACTGCCGGGAAATCACCGTGTACCAAGGTACACCGCATTAGGTTTGATTGACTGATTGAATGTTATTGAGTAGCCAAGCCGGGTACAATATGCACACTTTTATTGGACAAACCATACTTGAAGGCAAATTAAGGGAAGAAAACACGAAAACTACAACAAGAAAATCTTATTCAATTTATCCAGTCCTTCCATCGAGCCCAGCAGCGACGCCGCGTTACCCCGTTGAATTTCTATCGACAAACGCTGTCGTAAAAATTTATGCAAGTCTGCTTCGCCGGTTTGCGGCTAAAGGATACAATTCGGCACTATCACATCTCCTTATTCTAAATCGCACATTCCGAACCCGAACCGCTAGCCAAACGGGGATTGAGATTAAACGACGTGCAGATAAGCTTCCTGCATGATCCACTCATCCAACCGATCGCTGATGCGGAACCAGCACTCGTACCGCCCGGCATCCTTCCACGTGACCCTGTTGATCTTCATCGTGGAGCTGCAGCGACCCGCGTCATCGATGCCGAACTCAAAGCGCCCATAGAATCCCCACCACGACCGGGCCTGATCAGCGACCGCCGGGATGGAGTCGGCCATCAACAGGTAGCCTCCGCTGCGCCACAGGAAGCGGGTCTTCAGGTATCCCGGGAGGAAGTTGAAGCGGACCCCGCAGACCATCGCCGCGGGGTCGCCGTAGCGGACCGTTACGTTCTGCATGGGCGGATCGAAGACGTTGTGGCGGAAAAGCGTGGCGCTGACCCAGCGCTGCGTCACCACCCGCTGGCTGCCGTTGGAGTGCAGACACTCGTACAGGCCCGTGGCCGCGTAGGTGAAGTTCGGGAGAAGGATGGAGAAGGCCCCGTGTCGAAGTCGTCGAATTGGACCTCCATGGAGTAATTGGCCGGGAAGTGATCTTTCGTGCAGTTGCAGCAGTAGTTCACCTGTGGGGCACCGGTCAGGCGCGTCAGGAGTCCGTTGCGGGTGAACGCCGGCGCAATCTGCATATATTTAAGCACTAATATTGCAGAGTAGAGTATTCAGTATTCAAGTCCTGATGTCGCATACACGGGTACCCTTAACGTGATGTTGTTGGTGATGTGGCAGGGAATGATCAGCGTGCCACCCTCCGGCGCGCGGACAACCTCCGTGCCCGGCGGCCATTCCTCGATCGGGTATCCCGCCGACGTTGGGCCGCGACCGTGCCCCTGCAGATGCATGGTTCCGCTCCCGTTACGGGCTTTAGCGTCGTCCAACAACCGCATCACTACGACGAAAAACCAGATTCAGTGGACAAGGAAATGAGCACAGCAGATGACAACGCGACATGATCCGTTGGCTACAGGACGCTTGCGCTAACACTTTGCACAGCACAGACATACAACACCTAATACTTACCTAAATACAGCAGACATACATGTATGATGTATCAATGTATGTATGGAAGAACTTATCACGTTGTGCGTCATAGAACAATTAACAATTGCTGTGTCGGTGTATCTGAACTACATAGATTGACTTCGAGTGTTGCTTTTACTTTGTTAACAAAATCACAGCAAAGCTGCCAAGATAAACAACATCGGGTAGTAATCTTTCCCGAATTCCGACCAGCCAATCTAACAGCTAGAAATCGGACCGACTTGGAATCTCAGACCGAATTCAGTCAAGTACGTATCCTCATTGTCCGTTAATCACCGTGTTGTCCGTTACTATCGTTTTGACCACCATTAATTTTCGCCACCAGTCATTCCGGCCAACTAAGAAACCTAAGAAAACTAAGAAACCGAATTTTGGCCACCATTTAATTTGGGTGGGCAAAATGAATGGACAACCGACAACCCACTGTGGTGACTAATGAAAACATTCTGTGGCATACCCTTGCAAGAAAAATATGTAATCCTCGATGATTATACGGGAATTTCGGTGAATTGCATAGTCTCCAGCAGTGTCTAACCAAGCGCCCGTTGTTTTCACGGGCTCGGTAAGACACGGAAAATGGCCCCCGACGCACCCACACGGAAAGCGCTATCGGGAGAATGGAGATCCCCTGTTCGGGGCGGGAGCGGGCGGGAAAATCGACAGCCATTTGGGCCGCCCGCTTTTCAGAACACTTGAAACAAGTTAGAATTTTTACGGCCGTAATGACAACAGTAGTCATGATTTTGTACGATTTTTAAGAGAATTTTGCAAATTTATACCCGTCAGCTTCGCCCGGAAATGCAGCTTAATTTTTAGCTACATGCAGCAGTTTTAACAATTCGGAAAATTTCGCTGTGAACAACAAGCTAATTCTGATTCGATTTTGTAACATTTTTCACATAAGATTCTCTGAAAAAAAAAACTTAAAAATCGGCAAGCGGGACGCCCACCGATCGGATTTTGATTACTAGTACAGTAGTACTAGCATCGACAGGAAAAACTTCTTTACAAAACTGTACTTGTTTTCCTAACGCCAGTTAAACATCAGGGAAAACGCGGCAGTTTTAATTCTCTGTCGTCCTTTACAATAAGTCCCTAGTAGGAGCAGTTTGACTGCGCTAATTGCGCCGCTTTCAAGTTCGGTCTTCGCCCATATAAGGCGCACATCCTGCGCCCGTATAACATCTTACTGGCAAATTGCGAAATACGAGCGTGATTAATGCGTAAAATAACTCACTTCCCAATGCTGTCTCCAGGCCGCGTTTTACTTTGAGCATTAATAGGCGATATTTTATAGTCTTCTATATGCTGTACTTTTTCTTTTCTTTGTAGTTTTCTTTTGTGGTTATACAATACTGTACGTATAGTTTATACTTTATAGCTGCGATATCTCCCCTTATTTACACGGACACGGTCACACGGTAAAACACGGAAAACGGCCGGCAGCGGCGCATGCATTTGACGCAAAGCGGTAGCGGAACGGTTTTCCCTGCTCGTGATCGGCCTAGACTCCATCTCTGACTCTGACTCTGATTCTGACCACTCAAACTCTGACTCTGACTACTCAAAGTCTGACTCTGACCGCTCAAAGTCTGACTCTGACTCTGAAGATTTCTTAGGTTTCTTAATAGGCTTCTTAGGTTTCTTAGGTTTCTTAGGTTTCTTAGGTTTCTTAGGTTTCTTAGGTTTTCTTAGGTTTCTTAGGTTTCTTAGGTTTCTTAGGTTTCTTAGGTTTCTTAGGTTTCTTAGGTTTTTTAAGTTATTCTTAGGTTATTCAGTCAGAGTCAGAGTTTGGTCAGTCAGAGTCAGACTTTGAGTAGTCAGAGTCAGAGTTTGAGCGGTCAGAGTCTGAGTCAGAGTCAGAGCTTGAGCGCGGGCCCTCGTGATCGGGGCGGGAGGGAAAATGGACGATTCGGCAGCCGGAGTGGGCAGCGGGCAGCCTACAGTAAGCGAACTGGCCATGTTATTATTATTGTTTAGCTAAAAACCGTACTTAAACTCCAAAGCGAAAGACTACGCCTCCAAATCATACATAAATAGCATAACACCTACGATAATAATTTTTAACCTGATGACAACTATTTTTCTGCGTCAAAGGCTTGCTTTTGCACCCTAAGACAAGCGCTGCAAAACTGCGAGATGTACGACAGTACGAGCACAAGATAGATCACGTTTAAGTACTCTGAACGCAACGTTAACCAAAAGTTCAACTCGTTCGTTACGTTCACATTCACCATGCACTTGCCCGCATGATCACCTCGAATCCCTACAGCAGTTTAACTGCCTCCTGCATGAAAATCGTTTTGACACTGTTAGAAAGATCCCGAAAGAAGCGCAAGTGGAAGAGGGAATAACACAGCGGAAACAGACGACCCAAGACTTTCTAACCGCATCAGAATTCAATCGCCCAGAATAAAGTGATAACATCTTGGCTACTGCCGATACAGACTTGTGGCTAGAAGAGTACGGATGATTGCCAACTGCACATGTACAGAAAACAAACTGCAAGTCGCGCCCAACAACGAACGATGTGCCTATGCTTTGACCAAGTGAGAAATAAACACCCGGTTAAGCTTTAATCTTAATTGTATTTTTATGAAATCATTTTACCAAATAAACAAGGACAGTTAAACGGCGCACAGATAAGTGTAGTTCTCTACAGCTCTGCCCAGTAAGGCACTAGGTCGGGGTCGGCCAACGTCGCCTTTGCCGTTGTCAGCTTTACCTTTGCCTTTGCCTTTGCTGGTGGAAAAGCCGTCAGGACAACAATTGCCGTTTCAGAACGCCGTCTCTAAGGGGAGCGTGCGCTAAGCATCTTCGGTAGCGATTACGAATC